TTTTCCAAATTACCTCCACCAGTTTTTTGAATTTCTCTGAATTTTTCACAAATAGTTTTTAAAATTCCAACAGTTGTTATAATTCTTTTTCCTTTACTCACATTAATCAATTCTTTTTTTTATTTCAAAATTTTATTCAAAAGACTTATATTTTGCACTACCAATTTTATCCACCTTTTCGATTCCAATAATAACCGTTTTTTACTCTTAATATTTTTCACTATAATATAAGCACTCTCCATAATTTCAATGAGTTTTGGAATATCTATAGAATCCATATTTTCTGTCTTTTTTTAATTAAAAAAATGAATTCTTTATTTAACAAACACGCACAACCTATCAAGCTATTTGTTTATTGAAGACTAATAATTATTAACAAATGTATGCTTGCTTTTATACCACATTTCAAGGTTATATAAATTAAAAAATAAAATTATTAAAAAATAATTCCAGAAAATACATTAAATAAACATTCTTCTTTTCTCACGATCTAAAAATGTAATCATACGATGACCAATATTCTAATTAAAACATATTAGTCCAAAATAATATTTTCATTAAATTAAGATAAAGGCCATGCGTTTTCTTTCTCAGATCAAAAAAATCAAAACAAATTTTTAATATGTTTAGTTAAGACTAACATAGCATACTTGCTCATTAGAGCTAAGGAGTTTAGATGTAAGCGATAGCAAGAACTCCGCATTCACTTTTCGGGCCGCTGTTCTCTAAATATATTAAATCTGTCAACGATAGAAAACCATAAAACTGATTGCTTAGGAAGAATTTCGAATCGCGCTAAGCTGAAAAGGAAATTTGATACTCTAAAAAGCAAAGACATACAGTACTCTGAAATGCAATTAACAGATATCGATTGCAGGAAGTTATAAACTTGTCATCATATTGTTTATAACAAAACTAATAGCAATATTTTCAAAATAATTTTTAATAAGTTAAAACACAAACAGGAAATACCAAGCATTTTTTTCAATTACGCAATATTGCGTAATCATAATATTCGAAAAAATGCCGGTAACAGATTCCTACTATCCAGAACGCCCACAACCTATCTACTTGTCATTTATTGAGACACCTCATCATACCCACATAGCACGAATTCTTGCTGTGAGGTAACTGTTAGGATATCTGTAAGGTTTGTAAGGTTACTGTGTAAGCCTTCAGTAAACTTGAGGTCATCTTACAACTTCCGCCATTTCAGTAAGCATACACAATAAAGCTAAGGTAAGCTTACACAGTAAGGTCGTGGTAAGGTTACATGGTAAGGTTGTGGAAAGCATACACAGTAAGGTTGTTGTAAGCTCACCTTAGCTTTACTGTGTAAGCTTACTCTAATGGCGGAAGTTTTCAGATGACCTCAAGTTTACTGTAGGCTTACACAGTAACCTTACAAACCTTACAGATATCCTAACAGTAACCTCACAGCCAGAAGTCGTGCTATGTGGGTACGAAACAATATTTTTGGCAAAAAATTGTAACACAAATTTCACATTGAGTGAAAGTATCAAAAATAATAGTTATACAAAGTAGATATTTAAATGTGTTTCTTTATTTATATATCTTTATTTATTTATATAAAAAAGAGTTTATTATTGTTGGTGTACGGAACCCTTGAATTAGAGCGAGTGTAACTCGCACTTGTCCGATTTTTTTAATTTAGTGGAGTTATATACAAAATAAGGTGAAAATTTTTTCCATGAAAATCATTTTTTACAAAGACGTATTTTGGTCTACGTACATCGATGCTCTTCTGTTTTATATGTATCCTTCTTTTGTTTTTATTTCTCCCCGCACATAGAAACCTCACATTATTGTACATTTTCTGTTTAAACAGTTAAACTGTTTAACAGTTTTATCAAATTTCATCCGCCAAATTGGTTCTGACATTTTGAATATCGTAAATCTTACCTCAGATTCGTCAAATCGAAAACCGCTAGACATCGAGTTTTATGATTATTTAAAAGTTTTTTTAAATTTCATCCGCCGTTTTGAATTTCGTGAATCAGGCTTCAGATTCGTAATCAGCGACCCGCATATAATATTTACAATTTTTAGTTAAATTATTAACTGTTAAGGTTAATAAAAAATTATATATTTTATAAACCAATAAAGGTATCGTAATTCTGACATTACTAAATAAAAGTTGACAAAATTCCGCATCCATATATGAAGCACTTTGGGTTAGTGGATTGTTAATAAACAATTGGCTAACATGGCAATTGTTTATAAAAAATCCTCTAATCCAAAATAGTTCATATAGGGCTCGTTGGATGCAAAATTACGTCAGCTTTCAATTGGTACCTTCAGCATTGCCATAATTTTATTTATTTGTCAAATATTTCATTTTTTCTTAACATTAATTAATTAATTAATATCTCGAAAATAACAAAAAAAGGACATCTCAATATTTTTTGTGTTGAAAATACAAATTTTTAGCTTTCATAAAAAAAATAATTAAAAAAAATAAAAAGGACCGACCTTAAAAAAAAATTCAAAAAAAGTTTAATTTTCAAAACAAGGAGGGGGTCTTTTATGTTTATTTCGTAAACATTTTGCTTCCTCATTGTGTGAAGCAAAAAATTTGATTCCTCGTGGAGGAAGCTATGAATTTCTCCAATTCGATTGATTGATTTAAAAAATTTCGAGTTGAAAACTGTTTTAACCCTCGGAGCACACACCTCTTTTTTCGAACAAGTAGCACAGTCTGGGTCGCTGTGACCCTGTTTACTTTACAAAACTCCCCCATTTTTGAACTATTGGACTGATCAACATAAAAAAAATATTTTTTTATTCATTTAACCTTGTAAAATAAGAATATGCAGTTTAGAAATATTATTAAATTATTTGCATATTGAAAAAAAATTCGTGAAGTTAACTAATTAAAAAGAAAAAATTGAATTTAAAAAAAAATGTTACTTTTGTAATTTTTAATATTTTAAGCTAAAAATTGGGATTTATATTCTCGAAGTGTGTTAGAATAAGGGAAAAAATACCACCTTATTTTATTTTTTAAAAAAGGTATTTATTTTGTAGTTTTACGAAGGTAATTTTTAAGACGATAAAAATGTGATTTTCGACACAACTTTTTAAAACTATACTTTTTTAATAACATATTTACTAGTATTTTATTATTTTCTTTGGATTATCATGTTACTTATTATTCCTTATTAGTTAGTTACCACTATATGGCCTTAGGTTCGTGTTGTATTGCCGACTTTTCAAATTACACTTCATTAAAATTAATCACAGGGTCTGTGTGACCCAGTATGTGCTCCGAGGGTTAAATTAATTAAATTTTTTGAAAAATTAAGAAAATTTTAATTAATTTTGGGTGTAACATATACTTTATATATACATATCGATTCGTTTCAATGCAAGGAATACAATTATTATATTTATTAACTTGAATTTTAAAAAAACACAAATTTTTTTATCTAATATATGAATTTTCGATTTTTCAATTTTTATTAATTCTAAAATTTTAAATCCAATCTATACTTTATATATACCAACCAATTCGTTTCAATGCAGGGAATAAAATTATTTCATATATAAACATGAATTTAAATAAACACAACATTTTTTAGTATGATGTGAATTTTTGATTTTTTAACTTTCATTAATTCTTTAAATTTCGCTCAAATCTATACTTTATATATATATATATATATCAATCGATTCATCTTGACGTAAGGAAGACGATTATATTATATATTACCTTAAATTTTTCGATTTAAAAATTTTTTCAATTAAAAAAAAATTTTTGGAAAAAAGATGATAAAATTTTTTTTTGGGGGTATTTTTAAAAATCCTCTCGTCATTTTTGAGAGATTAATGTGTTAAATAAGCCTACAAAATTTTATTCAAATCCTTTAAAACCTGTTAAAGATATCGTGTTCACAAAAACGATACACACACATACATACATCCGGACAATTGATCAGGATCTCATATAACATGTTTCTATATAGAGGAAAATTTGTTTTCACCATTTTTAAAAATTTTATAAACGAAAGGACTACAAAGCTTCCTCCACGAAGAAGCAAAAAGGGTCAAAATTTAAATCAAAAAAAATTTTTTTTGCACCATTCGAAATAGCAGGAAAAACCTTTCAAAAACATGTAGAATAAATTTTTTTTCTTTTTTCTGTTTAAAAGTTACAAGTCTTCAAAAATTCACTGTTTAAATTTTTTAAAAAAATTCAACTCCCTCCCACTCCGACAGTTTTTAAAAAAACCTAACAATACTTCGTGGTTAAATTACTCACCCATAGGGCTAAATTATGTGCAAGTTACAACCCGATCCGATCAACTTTTTTTTCACTTAGTTCACTACAGGAATTTTTTAGTAGTTTCTGAACGTGTCAGTTCGTAATACGACTCGGCATAATTTTAGGGAAAAAAATCGTTTCTTTAAATAAAATAATAAGCGAAAGATTTTTTTTTAACGTTTTACTGCTTGAAATTTGTAATACTACTCTAACAATAAGTAAAATAGTTTTTAAATTAACTAAAAAACAATGTTAAATAAACAGATGTTACTGTTTGGGGTTATGTTCTACCCCTTGTAAAATTATAACTAAATTATTTTCAATTTTCTGACAAAAATAAGATATTTATGTATAAAATAAAGACACACAAGTTTATTACTTATTAGAAAATTAATTTTCGTATAATTATTATTTTTAACGTTAATCCACTTGAACCAAAGTTCCCTTTTGTAATTGCTGGATTTTCAATTTTAGACCCTTTTCATCTAATATACTTATTAAAAAGTTAGCCTTTGATCTTACCGTGAATTTAATGATTGATGTAGATATTTACAGATCTTTCAAATTTTCAACAATAGTTTTTAATCTATCAATTACTCATAATTTACATTTCCTCTGATTACTTACACAAAAATTAATTCATTCCCTACAAACCTGCATCAAATTGTTTCATAAATTTGCTAATATGTGAGTTAATCATAAATTAAATGCTTACCTTGCCACTTTGTCCAAGAAAGAATGTTAAGAGAGCCAAAATAATGAAATTAGTTCCTCCAGCAAAATCTGTCAATTTATCCTTTTGAAAAGTTGCAGCAATTATAAAAAATATTACTTGCATTCCTATTGTTACAATTGCACTAACAGCTAGATGATCATCATCAAGAATTTTGACAGCCATTGTATTACAGAATCTATAAAAATATTAACTGTATGTATATTATAATCAAAGAAAGACAAATTTATATCTATTTTTTAATAGGCGAATACTTAATATTCACCGAAATACGCTTTACAGATTTCTTTTGATTTAAATATCAATCATCAAAGTATAAGCATGGTTGAAAAAATAACATTTATTAAATTGAACAAATTCTTAAACTGATGCTTAAAACCTGCACCATGAACTCAAAGTTATTGGTAGTTAATTTATAATCCCTGAAAAATTATTTTTACAAAGTTTGATTATCTCTAGTTAGGGATTTATAATATAATTATTATCAATTATCAGTTATTACACAGGCACACAAAAAAAAGTTGTCAGTTTCTTGAACTAGACATACCTATTCTATAGTATTTTGTCCCGCTAAAAACGAATATGAAGCCAGAATTGCTCCATCACCCTCTGATATTTATTAAATCGAAAAAAACCACCCTTAACCGGCAAAATTCAAACTTAATATCATTTCCTACATTAAATCCTGTTTCACTTTCATATACAAATTTATATGGGATTCTATAAAATTCAAGCATTTTATATATTTTTTTCTGGGAAATTTCATCGGATCCTATATAAGGATTACAAGGTAAACGTCTTTTTACAATTTTTTAGGACAGCAATTTTATTATTTGAAAGTTTCAGATAATTAGAAAAATAAATATATTGCCCGGAAATTCATGCAAATATAAAGTTTATAACCTTCTGAGTTTGTTAAAATCACGCGGAACACTAAAAATCTCTTCATAACCCATAAATAAGTTTGTTTCACAGTCAAACATCAACCCAAAATAATGAATTTTGCAAAATGTTTTCAAATGTACGATTTTTAATATTAAGACTAATATAATTTTGATTGAAATAAACTGTTATTTAAGTTTTTTATCATTAAAAAAAAACTTAAAAATATAATAGAATAGAAAGATTTAGAATGCATAAATATTTAAGGGTAAAACTTAAAAAATTTATACCAGTCACAAGGGGTAAAAGGCTCAAAGGAGGGAAAAAACGCATCATGCCACCAGCATCATTCTTTTCTTTCAGGTGCAGCAGAGTAGTTATAGAGTTTTCAGAGTTTTCTTTTATTTCAGTTATTTTTTTTGTTTTGTTATTTTGTATTTGATTTAAGGTGGTGGATGTTTATTTTCAGTGATTTTTATTTCTTTTTGTTCTATTATTTTTGTATTTGATTTATTGTGGTGGATGTTTAATTTCAGGGTTTTTTATTTTTAGTTTTTTTTCATTTGTATATAATTGGAGGTGATGCTTAAATTTATGTCAGAAACTTGAATACTTGTGTTGACATTTCGATGCATTAATGAAACGTGGCGCGGGTTTGCAAGTGAGTAATGGTAGAATGAAATGGGTAGATTTTGATAAAGCATTTGATGATCGTTTACAAACTAGTGCTATTATTAATATTGATTACAAGGATATTAATGATTTCTTTGATGATGCTTTTATTTCATTTAAAAAGTAATATTGAAACAGCTTTAAACAAATTTGGTCCGCTAAAAGTTTATACAGTTTTGTAAGCTAAATTTAAAAAAGATTTAATTGTAGGTAACGGAGAAATGTCAGATATAAAGACATTTATCGCGAAAACATGTGAGATTTTAGTTACAACCCAATTATGTAAGTGGTACAATCAGAATGTTAAACAACCAACTTTGAGACGAATCGAAGAATTCCAAGAAAAAGATTCCAAGTGGAGACTTGATTCTATTTAAAGGTGGAGGATAATATTAACAAGTATAATCCCATGCGTGCTGGTTCTTATTTTGATTTGCCATTTTTTGTTAAAAGGAAACAAGCTTGTATTAATGTTCAAAATACAGACAATCAATGTTATAAATAGTCAATTTTGTCAGCTTTACACCAAGTTGAAAACCATGCAGATCGAGTTTCTAAATATAGGCTTTATGAGAATGAACTTAATTTCAGTGGGTTTGAGTTCCCTGTTTCACTCAAGGATATTTTAAAATTTGAGACTCAGAACAACATTTCGGTTAATGTATATGGTCTTGTCAAAAAGGCTGAAAAGTTTACAGTGCTTCTGTTACATCTGTCATCACAAAAGAAGGTTGTTCATGTAAATCTTCTTCGAATTGAGGACCACTACATTGATGAAAATTTTACGGAGGAGGATGTGGAGATCGATCAAGTAACCATCATCTCTTTCAACTACCATTATGTTTAGATCAAAGATTTATCAAAGCTTGTTAGCAGTCAATTTTCTAAAAAAAAAAAAACAAAAAGTACATTTGCGATCGTTGCCTGCATTACTTTGAAGATAAAAATAAACTTGTTGAACATGAAGAAAATTGTAAAAAGATCAATGAAACGAGTATTGAGCTGCCGAATCCAGGGAAAAATTTTGTTGAATTTAAAAATTTCCAAAACAAGGAGCGTGTACCATATATAATATATGAGGATTGTGAAAGTCTCTTGATTCCTGCCGAAGTACCCCAACAAGCCAGCAATATTGAGGTTTTTTAAAACCACAAAATGCTCAGTATTGATTATTATTTAAATTGTGCCTTTGATGACTCCTTGTCCATATACAAAGCATCTCCAAAAGATGAAGAAGATCCAGCTAAATGGTTTTCAACTAATTGATGCAATTGCTACTGGATTTGAAGGAAATATTTATCTACTTCCAATAAAGAAAGAAAAGTATATCAGCTTTACTAAAAATGTAAATGGTTGTTTTATCAAATTTCGTTTTATAGATTCATTTAAATTCATGGCATCATCATTGGACAAGTTAGCATCCTATCTCGACGAATATAAAACTGTAAATTCAGTGTTTTCTAATTACAGAAACGATAAAATCCAATTCTTAACACGAAAAGAAGTTTTTCCCTATGAGTATATTGACTCGAGGGAAAAACTCGACGAGACTAAATTGCCTCCTAAATACAAATTTTATAGCACTTTAAACGATTCAAATGTATCAGATGAAGATTGTGCACATGCACAGAATGTGTGGAGTGAATTAAATTGTCAAAATCTAGGTAATTATGTTTTTTTATATATGCAAACCGATGTATTGTTACTCGCGGATATTTTTGAAAATTTTAGGGAACAGTGTTTACTCGCGTACGGTCTTGATCCTGCGCATTATTACCCTCACAACGAAAGGATATCCTGAGGATATCCTAAACTAATGTAGGATATCCTAAAAACGTCCATAGGATATCCTGAGGATATCCTCAGAACATCCAAACCGCCGTTACGTAGGATATTTTTGGGATATCCTGAGGATATTTTAGGGATATCCCTGGGATATTCCAGGGATACCCTAGTGATATCGTGGGGATATTCTTGGGATAAACTTGGTATATCGTTAAAATATTCTAGAAATATCGCTAAGATCTCCCTAGGATATCATTATGATTCAAATTTTAACTATTTGAGATAGCGATTTTTTGATACAAATAGGTTTCCCGTAATTGTCAATCATCTTTCAAATTTTGGCCTTAAAGTTGATAATTAGAGCATATATTTAAGCCAAAAATGCGATTTTCGACACTTTAAATTCGTTTTTTATGGGACTGACCAATTGAAAAATTTTTGTTCTAACACACGCACCGAAAGTACACCATTTCTTACCTGTGTAGCGGGAGAAAAGTATGTCTTTTCCGACGAGCGGATCCCTCCCGGTGATGTTGTTATTAGGTATTACATATTAATCAAACTATGAACAATAGTGAGTCTTAAACGTCTGGTACACCACAAGTAGTAACTATACTACTACCAAACACAATCATACCATCATCAATAGTATCCACACTACCGCGTTTGTACTTTCGGTATACGCGTGTTAGAAAAAATAGTATGTGCAACTCGGGAGGATAATGATCTCCACTCGGGTTTTACAGTTCTCGCCTTCACTCGAAAACCTTCGCCTGCGGCTCGTGCGCTCGCTACGCCTCGAACTGCAAACTACACTCGTGGAAATCAACCATTTTCCTCCCTAGATGCACAATATACTATTCTGGCATGATCCTGTTCAGTGACTTTTTTGAACAGTAAATTAAAGATTCTGGCCACTGTGCAGCGAAGTTGGGACAGCGAAGACTAGGGACAGGAGGATCAACTCGGCTGTTTGCCCACATGGAGCAGTGGGCTAGATTGTGCCAAATAACATAAAATATGAACAGTTGAGCAAGTGTTTCATAGTTAGCGCTTGAGTTGGTTTCAAGAGATTTTTTAAAGAAAAAGTAGAAAAAACAATTCTTGTGGACAAGGTAAATCATTTTAGATATCTTGGAAATACATTATAAATACATCCAAAAAATATGTTTTCCATTTTTATTTAATTAATTTGTATATTAGGGTCGTTTTATGGATACCTTAGGGACATTTTTAGAACGACTCAAGGATATTCTAACCCTTAAGATAATATAGACATACTGTGGATTTCCTCAGTACGTCCTAAGGACATCCCTAATTATTTCCAGGGATATTCTTGGGATATCCTTAGGACGTTCTAAGGATATCCACAGGATATCCAAATAATATCCGGGAAATGATTAGGATATCCCTGGGACGTCCTAGGGACATCCTTAGATATCCCTGGAATATCCCTAGGGTATCCTAACCGCCGCTACTTTTGATATACTTAAAGTATCCTTAGGATATCCAAGGGATGTTTTTGGAATATCCTAGGATATCTGGTGCTGTGAGGGTATAAAACGCCATGGCTGACATGGGATGTCATATTAAAGTATACGAATATAAGACTGGAACTTCTTACAGATATAGATATGGTAATGTACATTGAAACCAAACCAAAATTACACGATTTACACCACACTTTATAATGTGCCCGGCTTGCAAAACGCGTTCACCTTCAATAAATTTTCGTTGAGCAGGATTTGTACCTGCCCATGCGCAAATACTGTCCAT